AACCCTTAGTCAACCGACCCCTCCATATCCACCACCAGCACCGCTAGTATACCACTCACTATTACACCCCTCCCGGAGCCACCCATGACTCATATTGACTCATATTTTGACATTTATTAATCATGAACTCTGACTCAATGTTTGTTTTTTTTTGTTTTTTTGACGGCACCGGTAGGCAGAGGTCGCGGACACAAAGGCCAACGCCGGCACTTCACTTCGCCCGAAGAGATTGCCGCCCAATCGAAAGACCCTAATTGGCAGCGCCGGAGGGGCGACGGCGACGAAGACGGCGACGACGAAGAGGACAACGACGGCTCCGGCAGTGATGAGGACAGTAGTGAGGAGGAGGACCAGCGCAAGGGTGTGTCGGCGCTGATCGAGATCGAAAATCCCAATCGCGTTCATCGCAAGGCCAACAAAAATCTCACACTCGGTACGTGTGGCTGTGTTGGGACACCCGGTGTGACCGCCCGGTGCTCTCTCTCGGGATGTGCTGTTTTGTTTGTTGCGATAGTTATAGTACACTGTATGTGAACACTGGATGGTTATGGTTGACATGTGCGCGCCCGCGCGCTAACCCAATGGCCAGTATATGTCGGGCCCTGTAGTCTAGTTATCAATTAGACAGTTATTAATACTACAGTAGTTTACAGTACAGAGTGTTTCGCACACTATTATCGCATAAAACAATTCAATACAATTAATTAATATATTAATTCGTAGTTTAATTATATTTTTTATTCCTACACATACACATACCTGCGTCCGGATTGGTTCCCTGTGCTGACCAATAGAAAACGCTGGCGGAGCCGCTGGTGGCAGTTCCCGAAACGGTGCGCCCGGCGCTGACGGGGCGGCACCGGTGCCCGAGTTGTCCCGCCGGGAGCGGGAAGAGTTGGAGAAGCAGAAAGCGCGCGAGAACTACCAACGGCTGCACGCGCAGGGCAAAACGGACCAGGCCCGGGCCGATCTGGCCAGACTGGCCATCATCAAACAGCAGCGCGAGGACGCGGCCAAGCGCCGGGACGCCGAGCAAAAGGCCAGAGAGTCAGAGTTGAAAGCGAAACAATCGTTGACTAATAAGGCGTTGGGCAAGAAATGATGAAGTTTTTTTGGGTGTGCGTGGACATTCGCCGAATTTTTTTCTCTCTCTTTCTGTATTTTTCCCATTAGTTTTCAATTTATGATAAAATATTGATAATAACAATTGTTTTGCGATTATTATTATTATTTTGTGTTTTTATGGGCGCTTTTTTCATTAAAATTTTTTCATTTCGATTGTAATTTTTATTATGCGATTTATTGTTTGATATGTTTTTATTAAAATTAATTATACGTATTTCGGGAATTTGTTTTAACAATTGTTTATTTTTTCAGTCAATCTGTTTGTGAAATCTGACTATTTTTGGGTTTTAAATGTAACTAATTTTCAAAATTTTTGTGTATTTTTTGTTTGTAATACGAAAGAGAAAAATATCTACAAATTATAAATATATTTTTAAACACATTTTCTAAGTTAATTCATTTAGTCTTTCTCTCACTCTCTCTCTCTCTCTCTCTCTCTCTCTCTCTCTCTCT